GATCCGGACAAAATCGAGGAAACAGAAGAGATCCGAGTGAATGGAAAGGAAAAAAAAAAAACAAAGCATAAATTCCACTTTCACTTTAAAGAAACATGCGATAAAAATAGCCCAGTTTATGAAACTTCTTATCTGGATGGGAATCAAGAAAATGCGAAGTTAGAAATAGTTAAAGAAAAAGTAACAAATAAAGAAAAATATTAATACATAAAATAAATACAATAAGAGATAAAAAGAGATGCGACTGCCCCCTACATATTTTATACTTTCCCCTACAAAAAAACTCGCAATACCAACCCCATTTGTAATTCCATCAATTACTCGTGTATCGAGCAAATGAGTTAGTTGGGCTAATTCTCTTAGCTTTTCCGTTAAGGATATTGCATAAAAAGTATCTATATAAGCACGATTATATGACCAATCATATATAAAATGAATTATTTTGTCCCAAAGAATTTCATTAGCGCCTCTTTTAGCAACTAAATTCAGTATGTTCCAATTTTGAAAAGATGAATAAAAGGGCTTATATAAAAAGGATGCTAGAACTATTCCGAAATACGCTATACTGACCGAAAAGGTTGAATTTGTTAAAAATTCATACCAATCGAAAAAAGGATTTGAATTTTCATGTAAAAGATTTATAGACGGAGTTAACAATATTGATAAGAGATCCAAATCCATTCCTTCTTGATGGAAAGGAATTCCTAAAGTTCCAACAAACAAAGGAAATAAAACTAATACAAGCATAGAGAATAGCATAGTACTATCCGATTCATGGGGATAAAAAAAAGTTTTGGTAGTGCAAAAAGGAAAAATAGTAATAAAAGGCATCTTTGTTAACTTACTATCAATATCAATTCGAAATGTATTCTTCGAAAAAAAAGAAGGCCTTTCATTATTCATTGTTAATAAAGCGAATAAAGAAAATTCTGTTTTAATAGATTTTGGCTCTTCTTTACCCCATATCGATATTGAATAGAAGGAGTTGCTTTTTTTGCCACTGTAATTTTGAAAACGAATGTTGAAATGTCCTTCAAAAGTAAGTAAATAAATCCGAACCATATAAAATGCGGTTAATCCGGCTGTAAAACAAGCTATTATTGCGAAAATCGGAGAATACAACCAACTATCATTAAGAATTTCATCTTTGGACCAAAAACAAGCAAGGGGCGGAATACCACAAAGAGAAAGTGTACCTAATAAAAAGGCAGTTTTTGTAATTGGCACATGCTTTCTTAAACCGCCCATAAGAACCATATTCTGACTTTTATCTGGAGAATAGCCAACAATAGCTTCCATTGAGTGAATAATTGATCCGGATCCTAAAAACAACAAGGCTTTCGAATAAGCATGAGTAATCAAATGAAATAAAGCGGCTCGATAAGACCCCATACCTAAAGCTAACATCATATAACCCAATTGAGACATTGTAGAATAAGCTAAACTTCTCTTAATATCTTTTTGAGCAAGAGCTAAAGTAGCTCCCAATAATACTGTTATTATACCTATCAAAGATATTAGATTCATTATGTACGGTATGACTATGAAAAGCGGAAGAAGACGAGCTACAAGAAAAATTCCGGCCGCTACCATAGTAGCAGCATGGATAAGAGCCGAAATAGGAGTAGGACCTTCCATGGCATCAGGTAACCATACATGAAGGGGAAATTGCGCGGACTTAGCAACCGTACCGGCAAATAATAGAAAGGCACACAAAGTAACAAATAAAAGGTTAACCTCATTATTATAAATCAAGTTATTGAATATTTCGAACAAATCCCGAAATTCGAAACTACCCGTTATCCAATAAAAACCTAAGATTCCTAATAATAAACCAAAATCCCCTACACGATTAGTTACAAACGCTTTTTGACAAGCACTGGCCGCAATAGGGCGGGTGGACCAAAACCCTATTAATAGATAAGAACACATTCCAACCAATTCCCAAAAAATATAAATTTGTATTAAATTCGAACTTGTAACTAATCCTAACATTGAAGTATTGAAAAAAGTCATATAAGCAAAAAATCTCAAATATCCTTGATCATGAGACATATAATTATCACTATAAATAAGAACCAGAATTCCAACTGTAGTGATTAATACTGACATAATAGAAGTAAGTGGATCGATAAAATGTCCGAACTCTAAAGAAAAATCATTATTGATGGTCCAAGACCATACGTATTGATAGATAGAACTGCTATGTATTTGATGAATAGCTAGATCGACCGAAAAAACCATAACTATACTTAACAATAAAATACTAGGAAAAGCCCACATACGGCGAAGATTTTTTGTTGCTGTCGGAAAAAGTAGAAGTCCCACTCCTATTAACATAGGAACTGGAAGTGGAACGAAAGGTATGATCCAGGAATATTGATATGTATGTTCCATAAAAAAAATAATAATAACTTGTGTTTTTATTCTTAATTAATTAATTGTTTCTGATTCACCAGCTCTTATCTCTTTTGCAAGGCATTAAAAAAAAAAATTAAGGTAGTAAAAAAAACTTAAATAGAATTTTCTATCCCCAATACGTCAAAAGTATTCAAAGTTCAGAGCGGTCGAAGGATATAACTAAGTTACTAGTAAAAAATAAAGAATTTTTTTATACTCAGTATTATACTAAGTAAGATTTTTATGAAGATGGAACAAATTCAGATTTCAATTATTAGTCCCTATTCCAATAATTTATGTACATCAATCAAGAACACCAAAAAAAGTATTCATTTTGATATAAATCATAGGATGTCCCAGAGTTTTCCCCAATAAAAAAAGAACTAGGTATTTTAATTTGTTTATTCAGAACCATTAACTAGTTCATTTCGGAACTGATTGATTGGCTTCCATTCCAATAAATGCCATTTAAGAACCTATTAATAGAAAAAAAAAGATTAAATTTTTTTTTTTTATTTTTTATTCGGTAAGGTTTCTTAAACTTGGGTGATGTATTTTTCATCTATAAATGTAGCATGTCGAAACTAGACAGAGATATAAACGGAAAGACTTTTTCTTTTTTTATCAACTTCAACCAATTCAATTCGATTTATATTATATGGCATAATACAGCCTAGAGATATCGATTTGAATACGGATCGGGATATAAAGAAAGACACCGCCAATAACTTCGAAATAAGAATTGTTCTGTCGCGGATATTGTATGGAATAGAAATTGAAAAAATTCTATATCATATTGTTTTTCTTTTTTGTTCTAGTATTATTTGATTCTATTTTCACATATTTCTATTTATTTTTTGTTCTAAAGGTAGTATAATTTAGAGAATAAATAGACAGATAATTAAATGAATAGTCAAAATAAAAGAATAGTCAAAATAAAAAATGATTTGTTTCAAAGAATAGATGTCTTTCCCATCCAATTTTATCAATGAATAATCCTTTAGTTTGCGAATGGCAGTTCCAAAAAAGCGTACTTCTATATTTAAAAAGCGTATTCGTAAAAATAGGTGGAAAAGGGGGGGATATTGGGCAGCGTTGAAAGCTTTTTCGTTAGCGAAATCCCTTTCCACGGGGAATTCACAAAGTTTTTTTGTACGACAAATAACTAATAAAACGTCGGAATAATCTGAATCAGCCTGATTCGAAAAATGAGTTAATTTCGTTTCTAATTTTGACTCTACTTTTGAATATATATTCTAGAATAGAAAAATAGAAATAAAAAAAAAGTAAATAATGATTTCCATTCACTAATGTTTTGAACCGATGAAATTGTCTACTGAATTCTAAAAAAAAGGGTTTGGTCTTTCTTTTGGAATTTGAAAAAAAAAAGAATAAAAACCAAATCAAAAGTTTCAACCCTTTTTTAATGAGTTATTGAAATATGTTTTTCATTCGCAGGATGGGGATTCTTATTTTCCCCATCACCCCACCCCCTTATAAATAACTACATAACCCAACAACTTTCTAAATAACAATAACACAACAATAAGGGTTTTGTCTTTTTTTTTTTACTTTTCTTTTTCGAATTATGCTATAGAAGAGGGGATCTAAAATCTTTAGGCAAATCAATGGGTTGTTGAAACTATAAGTATAAAACCTTTTTTCTAACTTTATGAATCACTCTCTTTTATCAATTACTCTATATACCGTATCCACCACACTTTACCTCCAAAAGGGAAAAGCACTTTTGCCTATTTAAACAGACATTATATACGAATAGGGTGAGAATTTTACGTGATCAAAAAAATCCTATATTTGCTATATTTGAAAGGGAAGATGGATGATCAATCAAAAAATCTATACCTTTCGAATTCGAATTTAGAAAGAATTTTTTGAAGCAGGGTACAATTACACGATAGAAATCGAAATTTTTTTCTATGATATGTCCAGCCCAATACCTAATTGGTTTAATTTTAATAAAGGCGAACCAAAATTAAAATAAAAAAAAACCTAACGATAAGGATTACGACAACACAAAAGTTATGCAAATTAAATAAATCCTTTTTGAAAATCCTTTTTGAATTGGTGGATGTTGCGCTGAAATTGTGATTCATAAAAACATAAAAAAGAAAAATCATATTTTCGTTTTTTCCTGGATTGAAGTAAGAACTCTTGAGTTATAACAATTCGATTTTATGAAAACAGAAACTATGAAAACTTCTATTGTTAAGTTAACTAAAGCTGAAACCTTAAATAATTAAATAAGACCGCAAACGGGGAACTCTTTCCATCTCTATTTCAACAAGTTTTTAGTCATCAATTGGAATGCTTCCTAAAAAGGATTTCATTGAAATTGACTCTTTCAATCTCGACGATTGAATAAAAATAGGTTATTATGATTTCGAGCAAGCCGCTATGGTGAAATCGGTAGACACGCTGCTCTTAGGAAGCAGTGCTAAAGCATCTCGGTTCGAGTCCGAGTGGCGGCAGAGCATCTTATAAAAGATAAAAAGATATACAAAAAGCCCTAATAATGAATTTAACTTCTGATTTCCATTCCGTATACTTGAAAGACTCTCCCTTTTAATTTGATTTTTATTTATGATATTTTCAACATTAGAGCATATATTAACTCATATATCCTTTTCGGTCGTTTCGATTGGAATTACAATTCAGTTGATAACCTTATTAGTCGATGAAATCATAGGACTATATGATTCATTAGAAAAAGGGATGATTGCTACCTTTGTCTGTCTAACAGGATTATTAGTCACTCGTTGGATTTATTCGGGGCATTTCCCATTAAGTGATTTATATGAATCATTAATCTTTCTTTCCTGGAGTTTCTCTATTATTCATAGGATTTTCTATTTTAAAAAACATAAAAATCATTTAAGCGCAATAACCGCGCCAAGCGCTATTTTTACCCAGGGTTTTGCTACTTCGGGGTTTTTAACCAAAATGCATCAATCCGGAATATTAGTACCTGCTCTACAAGCCCAGTGGTTAATGATGCACGTAAGTATGATGGTATTAGGTTATGCAGCTCTTTTATGTGGATCATTATTATCCACAGCTCGTCTAGTCATTACATTTCGAAAAATTATAAGGATTTTTTCTAAAAGAAATCATTTATTAAATGTAAATGAGTCATTTTCCTTTGGTGAAATCCAATACCTGAATGAAAAAAACAATGGTTTACTAAACACTTCTTTTCCTTATTTTCTTTCTGCTACAAATTATTATGGGTATCAATTGATTCAACAATTGGATCAGTGGAGTTATCGTATTATTAGTCTAGGATTTATCTTTTTAACCATAGGTATTCTTTCGGGAGCAGTATGGGCTAATGAGGCATGGGGATCATATTGGAATTGGGATCCAAAGGAAACTTGGGCATTTATTACTTGGACTATATTCGGGATTTATTTACATACGCGAACAAATCCAAATTGGGAAGGTGTAAATTCTGCAATTGTGGCTTCTATGGGCTTTCTTATAATTTGGATATGCTACTTCGGGGTCAATCTATTAGGAATCGGGTTACATAGTTATGGTTCATTTAATTAACATCTAATTGAATTGTTGAATTGAAGAAAGGAATTGAATTGAAGAAATGAAAGGGACTGATGAATACAAACATAGGACAGCGCAAATATAGAAACGAAACTTAGTGGAAGCTGCCGAGAACCTTTTGAATCACTACACTACTTGATTCAAAAGGTTCTCACAAAGACCATAAGGTGTCTGGTTACAATTCAAATTTAGTTATTTATTGTTGACTTATTTATTCTTATTCTTTTAGTTATTTATTCTTATTCTTTTTTAGTTAATTTAAATTTTAAACTTAAGACACGAAAAAATACTTCTTTTTTCATTGGACAACGACCAATTTTAAAAAGCAGAGGACATAGGATTGGTTTTTGATTTTTTTTATTCATGAAAACTATCTATAAAAAAAATTAGATAGAATAGCTTCGACCTTGTCCACTGATAGGGAGAGAACGAAATCCGGATAAATACCAATACCTATTACGGGTAGAAGAATAGATATCAAAACAAATAACTCCCGGGGGCCGGAATCAAAAAAATAAGAGTTTTGAGCATTAAATAGCTTGTACCCATAGAACATTTGCCGTGACATAGATAATGAATAAATAGGAGTTAATATCATTCCAATTGCCATTACAAAAGTAATTAGTATTTTTGGCATTAACAAGTATTTTTGGCTGGTAATTATTCCAAAAAATACTATCAATTCTGCAACAAAACTACTCATGCCCGGTAATGCAAGGGAAGCCATCGATAAGATACTGAATATGGTGAATATCTTTGGAATTGGGATAGCCAATCCGCCCATTTCGTCAAGATAACCAAGACGTATTCTATCATAACTCGTTCCTGCCAAGAAAAAAAGTGCAGCGCTAATAAACCCATGAGAAATTATTTGTAAAATGGCTCCGTTGAGTCCCGTATCGGTTATCGACCCAATCCCTATAATTATAAAACCCATATGAGATACGGAGGAATAAGCTATTCTTTTTTTTAAATTCCGTTGGCTAGGAGATGTTGAAGCTGCATAAATTATTTGCATTGTACCTACTATCATCAACCAGGGAGAAAATATCGAATGAGCGTGCGGTAATAGTTCCATATTGATCCGAATCAACCCATATGCTCCCATTTTTAATAAGATTCCGGCTAGAAGCATACAAGTACTGTAATGCGCCTCTCCATGGGTGTCTGGTAACCATGTATGGAAGGGTATAATCGGTGATTTGACAGCAAAAGCAATAAGAAACCCAATATAAAATAGTATTTCCAGTTCCGCGGGATACGATTGATTAGCTAATGTTTCCAAATTTAATATTGGCTCATTGGAACCGTATAAAGCGATACCCAAAACTCCTATTAATAGAAAAATGGATCCTCCCGCAGTGTACAAAATAAACTTTGTAGCTGAATAAAGACGTTTTTTCCCCCCCCACACGGATAGAAGTAGATAAACGGGAATTAATTCTAACTCCCACATGATGAAAAAAAGTAAAAGGTCTCGAGAAGAAAATGATCCTATTTGACCGCTGTACATTGCTAACATCAGGAAATGGAATAATCGGGAATTCCGAGTAACTGGCCGAGCCGCTAAAGTAGCTAAAGTGGTGATAAATCCTGTCAGTAAAATAGGTCCTAAGGAAAGTCCATCTATTCCCAATCTCCAGTAAAAATCAAAAAAATTGATCCATTTATAATCCTCTGCTAGCTGGATTAATGGATCGTCAAACTGGAAATGATAACAGAACGCATAGGTCGTTAGAAGGAGTTCTAAGACGCAGATATATAGAGTATACCCTCTAGTCACCTTATTTCCTCTATGGGGGAGGAAGAAAATTAAAGAACCCGCGACTATCGGAAAAACTACAATTATTGTTAACCAAGGCAAATAATTCGTGGTAAAGACAAGATACACTTGGACCAGAAAAACCCGTACTCTAAAATGGAATTTATTCTTTTTTGGTTTTTTCTTTTTAGAGTACGGGTTTTTGTCGGTAATCGGTAAAAAAAAAAAAAGAAAATGGATTCGAAATGGATTGAAGTGGGGTTTTCTGAAACGTCTCAATATCAATAAGCTAGACCCATGCTTCGAGTTGTTTCATGCCATAAATAAACTCGAACACTCAAGAAATCCGTTGGACAGGCGGATTCACATCTCTTACAACCAACACAGTCCTCTGTTCTTGGAGCAGAAGCAATTTGCTTAGCTTTACATCCGTCCCAAGGTATCATTTCTAATACATCTGTGGGGCAGGCGCGGACACATTGAGTACACCCTATACATGTATCATAAATCTTTACTGAATGTGACATTGGATCTATAAATTTTTGAACTCCTAAAGTTTCGATCTAGTAAAGTTGGAAATAGCCGATATATTTAAACACCAGATGAATCAATGATTTACCAGAATTTTTCTAATCAATCCATTTCTGGATCAACTCATAATACTAATAGGGAATAAAGATACTTTGATTTCTTATGTTTTCGCAAACATGATTGAGGTTACGACGTATTCTAATTATATAGGCTAATTCGAATTGATGAATATTATGATTTCTAAATACTACTTATTCAACAAAGTTGATTGATTGATACGAGTCGATTTTCTGTTACGATAAATTGACGAAACAATAGCTGATCCAATAGCTGCTTCAGCGGCTGCAATAGCTATAACAAAAATTGAGAAAATATCTCCTTTTAATTGACGACTATCAAAAAAATAAGAAAATGTTACGAAATTTAGATTAACCGCATTTAGTATAAGTTCAAGACACATCAGGGCCCGAACCATATTCCGGCTCGTGATCAATCCATAGATACCTATAGAAAATAAATAGGCACTCAAAACAAGTACATGCTCGAGTATCATTGACCAACTCCGTACCAATTGCGATTCATTTCAATATGAACAATAATTCAAGTGATTCGATTGCTTAGAATATAACAAGTACCCAACAAAACAAGATATTGGTAATAGATCGAATAGGGCGACTAAAAAAATTTCTATTTTATACATGAACCGAACAGTATTCAAATAGAATTTCAGGGAAATGGATGTTGATAACACAGAAAAAGGTTGAATTTTGATTTCTGTTCCTAGTTAGAAATATTTTTTACTGACGAGCCACGACAATTGCACCTATCAAAGCAACTAAAAGAATTATCGAAACCAGTTCAAATGGAAGAAAAAAGTCCGTTGATAAATGAATACCAATTTGTTGACTATTACTTATCAAATCTTCCTCTATAATCTGGTTGGATCGGGTAGTCCAAATAATCCCATACCACGACGTATCTAGAATAGTAGTGATTAGTGAAAAAAAAATACTTGTACAGACTAGGGAAGTAACCCCGTCCCCAACAGTCCAAAGATGAAAATGAAAATCTTTAGAATAGTCTGAACCATTCATGAACATTACAGCAAATATGATTAAAACATTTACAGCCCCCACGTAAATAAGAAGCTGTGCAGCAGCTACAAAATGGGAATTTGATAGAATATAGAATAAGGATATACAAACAAGAACCAATCCCAATGAAAAGGCAGAATAAATTGGGTTGGTAAGTAATACTACTCCCAGACCTCCTACTATAAGACCCGATCCCAGAAAAACTAAAAGAAAATCATGTAATGGTCCAAGCAAATCCATTATATTAAAATAAGAGATAAATAAATCGAAATGTTTTTCATGACCTTATTGAACCGACCAGGAAATTTTTTTTATGAGACATTCCCAATTGAATTAAATTAGAATCTAATAAGTGTGAGTTAATGGGGGTCTAGTTATTGGGTCAATTTCGTTCTTTTCTGTATTCTAAACGGCAGTTTGAAATTGAAACTATATATTTCAAAATAATTATGGAGATATTATATTAATAGACTTTCAATACAAATTAAGTCATACTTCTCAGAACCCAATCAATAGTTGGGATTTGTAATTATTGACCAAGCAAAGAGAAAGGACCAAGCAAAGAGAAAGACCTTATCCCTTTCTACCAAAAAGAAATCTTAGTACTTTGCAATTACTCTTTAATCAAGAGGTTTACCCCTTTTTTCTTTGAGACGAATTCCAAACTGTTCGAATTGTAAAATCGTCAATTATTGATATTGGTAAACGACCTAAAGCAATTTGATTATAATTCAATTCGTGACGGTCGTACGTAGCGAGTTCATATTCTTCAGTCATTGATAAACAATTTGTTGGACAATACTCAACGCAATTACCACAAAAAATACAAATTCCAAAATCAATACTGTAATTAAACAATCGTTTCTTTCGAATATCTGTTTCCCATTTCCAATCAACAACTGGCAGATCTATAGGACATACACGAACACATACTTCACAAGCAATACATTTATCAAATTCAAAATGGATTCGACCGCGGAAACGCTCCGATGTGATTAATTTTTCATAAGGATATTGAATAGTTACAGGTAAACGATTTGCTTGGGATAAGGTAATTAGGAAACTTTGACCAATGTACCTTGCAGCCCGTACTGTTTGTTGACCATAATTGATGAACCCAGTTACCATAGGGAACATATCGTGAATAGTTATGAATAATTTGATTTTATTTCTTTCTCTTGTTTGAGACAAGTCGCAAATATCGTATTCCTTTTTTCTTTACAGTGAAAGGAGTTGGGAAGAAGTTGTTAATAATAGATTACCGAGAGAAATAGGTAAAAGAAATTTCCAGCCAAGATTTAAGAGTTGGTCCATTCTTAATCTAGGTAAAGTCCATCTTGTTGTGATAGGAATGAACAAGAACAAATAAGTTTTAGCTAATGTAATAAAGATATCAATTGTCGTTCCAAAAATTCCATCCGCTTTATTTATTTCAAATAGCTCCGGAACAAATATGTACGGAATGGAAAGATTCCAACCACCCAAGTAAAGAACTGTTACAAATAAAGAGGAAACTAATAGATTTAGATAAGAAGCAATGTAAAATAAACCAAATCGGATCCCTGAATATTCGGTTTGATAACCTGCTACTAATTCTTCTTCGGCTTCTGGTAAATCAAAAGGCAATCTCTCGCATTCCGCTAGGGAAGAAATTAGAAAAACCATAAACCCTATGGGTTGACGCCACAAATTCCACCCCCAAAAACCATATTTTGACTGCGCGCCAACTATATCAACTGTACTTGAACTGTTAGATAATCATAGTCGGTGATAACATTACTGTTCCCATCGCTATTACAAAACCGTACATGAGATTTTCACCTCATACGGCTCCTCAGGGCCACAAATAAATGTAAGGACCGAGCCAGTATTAGTTATCTTGATATGGTTATCGAATAGATAGAGTCAAAATCTATTGGAAGGTCCCCAATTATACCAATGGAATTCTGTCTGCTATAAAAATAAATAAAAAATAAAGAGTATTTCTGAATTGATCTCATCCTTTACGAATTTCAATTTTTCTGTCTTGAGTAATAACTTAATCAATCCTTGAATAAAATACTCCTTGTATAAATATCAATAGATATTTCAACCCATCATTTTATTTTCGATTACAAAAAAGAATTAAGCATTACATTAGTTCATGAATCAGGACAGGAATTTGATTTCTATGAATATATGAAAGAAAGAATAAAAAGATCTCTTTTGTTTCTATTGGAATTGTATTTTTTCTATTTTTTTTTTGTTCCTCTTCTTCATTCTGAGAAAAGGGGGGCTTAAAAAAGGTAAAGGATTATTTCGTTCCCGATAGTCATTTCTTTAATCGGTGGATAGGAGCATACTCTGGATCGGAATTGTGGGGAGTACTGCCTGATCATTTCTACTAATTTAAAGCCCCAATCAGTATTCTTTTTATGGTATGCAGAAGTATCCTTTTAGATAATTTACATAATCTCCATTACTAATCCTTTGTGTGTTTTTTGGTGTTCCTTCCTACCCACTCATCTTTTTTTTTAATCCCCCGTTTTGTAATATCTGTATTGTAATACATACAAACGATAGTGAAAACTCCATAGGGTTGATCCTTTGAGCCCGCTTCAAGCCAGGATGAACAATCAACCAATCTTGGGGTAAAGGGCTTCTTCCATGTTTGTTTACTTCGGCTTAACTCTTGTACACAGGAAATGAGACTCAATCCACTTTTACTGCGAATTTTGAAGTTGTTTTCTTTCACTCATATATAACTACCTAATTAATTTTATTAACCTAAAGAAGAAATAAATGAATAAAAAGATGAAGATATCTATTAAATTTCTTTTTTTTTTCTCGAAGGAAAAGCATAGGGAAAAGAAAAGTTTCTGTTTTAACGAATCGCACGTAGAGATATTGATAAAACACATAAAGTTAATGGGATTTCATAACTAATCGATTGAGCAGCAGCTCGCAGACCACCTAAAAAGGAATATTTATTATTTGATCCATATCCTGACATAAGAAGTCCAATAGGAGCAATACTTGAAATGGCAATCCATAAAAAAATACCGATATTGAAATCAGCTAAAACAAGGTGATAACTAAAAGGAATTACTGAATAACTTAGTAGAATTGATATGACTGCTATAGATGGTCCAATACTGAATAACCGAGTATTTCCTCTAGATGGAAGAAGATTCTCTTTCAAAAGTAGTTTTGTCCCATCGGCTAAAGCTTGAAGAATTCCCAACGGGCTGGCGTATTCAGGCCCAATACGTTGTTGTATTCCTGCGGATACTTCTCTTTCTAACCACACAATTACGAGTACACCTATTGTGATTCCCAATACAGGCGTGAAAATAGGAACAAGCATCCATATGATCCCATAGACCTCTTTTAAGGATTCCAATCTGGAAAAAGAATTGATATCTTGTACTTCTGTTGTATCAATTAGCATTTCAACGATCAACTTCTCCCATAATGATATCTATACTACCTAGTATCGTCATAATATCAGCCAATTTCATTCTTTTAACTAACTGCGGAAGAATTTGCAAATTGATAAAACCTGGTGGGCGAATTTTCCATCTCCAAGGAAAACCGCTTTGATCTCCTATCAGAAAAATTCCCAATTCTCCTTTTGGGGCTTCGACTCTCACGTAAAGTTCTTGTTTCGGCAATTCAAAAGTAGGAGAGGGTTTTTTACTAATGAATCGATCTTCAAAATCATTCCATTCTGGGTTGTTTTCTCTATCAAAGCATCGGATTTCTAAATTCTCATAGGGCCCCCCCGGAATTCCTTCCAAAGCTTGTTGAATAATTTTTATGGATTCCCGCATTTCGCCCATTCGGACTAAATAACGGGCTAATGAATCCCCTTCTTTTTGCCACTGTACCTCCCAATCAAATTCGTCGTAACACTCATAATGATCGACTTTACGAAGATCCCATTCGAGTCCAGACGCTCGTAGCATTGGTCCTGACAAACCCCAATTTATTGCTTCTCCTCCACCAATAATGCCTACTCCTTCAACGCGTTCTAAAAAAATAGGGTTTCGCGTAATAAGTTTTTCATATTCAACAACCCCTGTTAAAAAATAATCACAGAAATCCAAACATTTATCTATCCAGCCATGAGGTAAATCAGCTGCTATTCCTCCGATACGAAAATAATTATGCATCATTCTCATACCGGTGGCAGCTTCGAATAGATCATATACTAATTCTCTTTCTCTGAAAATATAGAAGAAAGGAGTCTGTGCACCAATATCTGCCATAAAAGGGCCAAGCCATAACAGATGAGAAGCTATACGACTCAACTCCAACATAATTACTCTGATATAGCTGGCCCTTTTAGGTACTTGAATATTTCCCAACAGTTCTGGTCCATTTACAGTTATTGCTTCTGTAAACATAGTAGCTAAATAATCCCAACGTGTTACATAAGGCAGATATTGTATAATTGTTCGGTTTTCCGCAATTTTTTCCATCCCTCTGTGTAAATAACCCAATATTGGTTCACAGTCAATAACATCTTCACCATCTAGAGTAACGATGAGACGAAGAACACCGTGCATTGATGGGTGGTGAGGGCCCATATTGACTACCATAAGGTCTTTTCCAGTAGCTAGTATATTCATAGGTTTTTCCTCGATTCATTCTTAGCATGAATTGTTGAAAACAAAAAGAAGTTCATCAATATTCAAAATCTACTAAATCAAATATTTCAAAATTGTATTTCAAATTAACGATTTTTTGACTCCCGAATATTCAACTGACTAATTAATTCTTTATAACGGACTCTATTTTTCTTTGACAAATACGATAGCAACCGTTGGCGTTTTTCCAGAATTTTCCGTAGACCTCTCTGAGATAAATAGTCTTTTCTGTGCAATTCCAAATGTGAAGTAAGTCTTCGTATCTTATTGGTGAACCTGAATACTTGAAATTCAACAGACCCGCAGTTTTCTTCTCTTTTTTCTTGAAAAATAATTGAGATGAATGGATTTTTTACCATAAAACGAAATCTCCTCCCTCCTTTTTTTTTTATATGAATTTTACTGATCAGTAATAATAATGCTAGTCATTTGAATTTGATATACACAACAATCTTACGTTCGTTATCAACTTCCTCTAAAATCAACCAAAAATCAATTCAATTTGCAATTTGATTAGGGATCCAAAAGGATGTTATATTTGTAAGGATGTTATATTTGTGGAAAAGAGAAAAGTTGAGACCTAAAAAAAAGATTCTGTTGATTCATTTATAGATCTAATTGATATGTATATCATTAAATTGGTATCATGTATCAGACTGGAATGTAAAATAAGGCATGTGCGCATCTCTGGGTTTTCATATATCCCAACCGTAAGCATAGATAGGAAAAACATAGTATTAACGAATTTTCAATCGTGGGTACATATGTATCCTTACCATACTGAAACGACTACCATTATTGGTATTAAACCAATAGCGATTCATACAAACTAAATCTTCTAATCGATAATTGGACCAAAGAAAGAACTTTAAGTTAATGAATTTCTTTTTTTCTCGAGCAAGATCTTTGCTTTTATCCCAAACGTAACTACGCATACCATTTCTATTCTTCGAATTGAAACAAATTAGAGTTCTCAATTCTCTACGACGTTTCGGGAATAAAATCTTTTCAGGAACAAGCAAATCATAATGCTTTTTGTCTTTAGTTCCAGTCCTTAGTTGATGGCTTGGAATACATTCATCAAAAATTTTCTTATCAACATAGCCTTTTTCTCGGTATCTTTTATTAAATTGAAATTGGCGCTTATTCTTATGAACCAATGAAATACCTATGGTTTGATATAGAAAAAATTGTCCATCATTTTTTACAGACAGACGAGCCGGTTCGATAATCACTATTCCCTTTTTCATCAATTCGGTAAGAGTTAAATCCTTCTCAGTCATCAAAATATCCAGACGCATTTCTCCCCTTTGAATATAGGATATAGCAATTTCTCTTGGATTTATCAGTCGGAGCAGGAGACAATCGATTTGGATATTATTCATTAGCTTTTCATTTAAAGAATTATCCCATCTCAACTGAAAATGAAAATATTTTTTTAGTAAGAAATCAAGCTCTGCTTCTGTGTTGCTTTTGTATTGCTTTTTCTTTCTACGTTTTTTCATGTCAGATCCCGCATGGTTTTCTTCAACATCTTTTTCTTGGTTTGAGAGAACTGATCCAAGACTTACTTGGTTTTGTGCATCTGATCTCGGATTTCCTTGGCTTGCGGGTTCTTTTTCTTCTTGACTTCCATTGTCTAATTCAAGATATTTTTTTTGATTCGATGATATAAAAAGATATTCCTTTTTCTTTCCAGTTCTTTTTTTATTACCATTTACATTTCCATTAAAATCGAAAAGAAGTAATTTGATTGGTATGATCCACGATTTCATTTTATATGCATTAAAAAGTAGCACAAATTCTGGGAAGAACCAAAGCTCCCGATTTGATATAAGACTATTTAGTATTTTGTTATTCATTCCCATCCAATCAAAAAAGAACTCTTTTTGGTTGGATGGGTTAATTTCTTCATTTTGATGAATTGTAAAATAAAAAAGACCTTTCTTATTAATTTCATCAATTATTTGATAATTATCCGCCCCAATCTTAGTATTTTGATTACTGTTGGTACCAGTATCCATATCAACCCAGGATTGAATATCGATCTTATTTCTAAGACAAAAATTGAGAATTCTCCAATCAAAATATTTTCTATTCGAAATTTTATCTATATCCATAATATCGTCTTCCCCTAGATAATTATTGATAGGTATACTTCCCAGCATACAAAATAATTTTCCTTTCCCTATGTTGTAATTATAAAAACTTTCTTCTTCATTCTTTACTTGGACTAGTGATCTATGAATAGACGAGTCTTTTTTATCGTCATAATTAATAGATTTATATGATAAAAGATCATATCTATAGTGTTTTTGAAAATTCGATTTTTGATTCCGTAATGGGTCTGCTTCAAAAAGATTTTGTTTTTCTTTTTGGTAATGAGTTAATTTGTTTTTTTCATATGAATCTTTTTTGTTTAAATCTTTATTTTTAGTCATACAGTCTTGATTCGCTCGATTTCGCCATTTTTGTGGTACTAATCTAGGCCATCTAATCCTAGGTAAATCGTATTGATAATGACTCCTTAACCAGGTTTTCCATTCATTAATTCCAAAATTCCAAAAAGGTTTATGTCTTAATTCGTAATGAAATATTCCTTGTTTTTCAAAACAATCTTTTAGTTCAGTCTTAAGAAAAAGAGATGTTCCGTGATATTGAAGGACAGATCTTAAATTATAAAAGTTAATAACTTGGGTTTGTGATAATTTGTAAAATACATATGCTTGTGATTGTGAGAAAGAAGATAAATTCCAAAAAATATTTGAATTCTTATTATTACTAATCTTATAAAGTGATTTTTTTAGAGTCGAAAGAAAGTGAATTGTATTTTTAGTTGTTTTATTAATTTTTTCCTGATTTGCTTCATTATTGTGATTGTGGACGTTTTTATCAATAATTTGAATTTTGTTTGTTGATTCAAAAAAAAAATTTGCATTGATTCTTGGAATATTAAGTATAGATAAAAAAAGGTTTATGTATACCCTTTCAATCAAAAATTTTATAAAAAAATATGATTTACGGATTAATCGAGTATTTCTTCTTTTTAATATCTGCCAAATCCTTTTTGATGATTCTAATATTTTAGCATGATAACTTATTTTGTTAGAAATAATATTTATTTCTTGAGTTAGCAATCCTTTTTTCTTCTCTTTTGTAATTTTTTCTATTTGGTTTCTGATTATGTTTGTTCTATTACTTAGATCTTTCATTTTTTTTTCTGTTAGTGAGAAATTTGTCCAATGCATAGATCGAATTTGAATAGACAATTCGTGAATCGTATGATTGCCGATTATCGTTATCGAATCTTTTTTAGTTTCACCCAAGTCCTCTATTTCTCTCATTTCTCTCAATCTAACTAATCGAATTGGCTTTCTTTTTGAAAGTTTTTTTATTTTTCCTTTTAGAAATCGAATGCTTTTGATGACCCATTTGTTTGTTTCTTTTGCCACTTTTCGGAAAATTTTTGTTCTTTCTTTTAAAATTCTTAAAACTATAAAAGACTTAGTTTTCCATTTTCGAATTTTTTTTTTGAATTCTTGCAAAACGGGTTCAAAAAATGAACGTCGTTTTCGGGGAGAACCAAAAGGAAGTTCCGTTTCCATTCCCCAAACTGTTAAAAAACAAAAATCACTTTCTTGTCCTTTTATTTTTTTCAATGAATCCTTATGAAGGGATTGTAGTTTAGATCTGCGCCGGGGTTTTAGGTAAAAAGGAAATAGGATCTTTATCTGAATACCGTCTGTTAACCAGTTGTCCGGAAATTCTGTTTCGGATAATTGAACACCATTATAGGTGCATTTAACATGCATTTCCTTTTTCCAATCCTTTAAATCCTGGGACCACTCGGGCAATTCAAATAATAGTATGCGAGCGAGATTTTTAGCTATTATCAATGAAGGTAATATAATATATTTTCTAAGAATCGATTGAGTTAATAATAGAAACCCTCTTATTGCTTGAGAAAATAAAAAGCTATCCCAGGTTTCTGCTATTTTCATCCGTACTTTTTCTTTTCTTTTGTATTCTTCTTTTTTATCAATTTTTTTTTGTGTTTCGTTTGTATAATCAGACGGTTTTTGGTCTTTTTGTTTCCACATCCAATTTCTAAAAATTCGAAAAATTCCTTTCATCGGTCCGGAAATCTCAAAAGAAAAATAAAAGGGTTTCTTTATTCTGTCCAAAAAAAGGGGTGAATGGGCATTTGCTTGAAAGAGGTCCCAAGTAACGGTTTTGCGTCTTTGTGCGCGCATGGAGCCTTTGATTAGTTCTCGACGAAAATCCGATTGTTGCGAATAGCGTCTCAACCTTACTTCCTTTTTTTGCTCAAGATTCTTATTATATTTGTTATTAGTATAAGTATCGGTATTTGGATTAGTATAAGTAAAAATCAATACTCGTTTCGCGTTTCTTGTACTAATTCCAGGACCATCCGCCACGTTTTCGTCGGTTTCGCTCTCCTTTTTGTCTAAATCAGACACTAATTTGTATGACCACCGAGGAACTGTTTTACTAATTTCTTTTATTCCAATAGATTTTTTTCTAATTGTTTGAGCGTTGGGAATCGTTAGAACTGCATCAAATAAAAATTTTAAAATTTTTATTCGATCTTCTGAATCAATTTTCTCTCGTTTGGGTTCTGGAAATAAAGAACGTACTTTTCTTTTTTCTCTTGAAAATAATTTTCTACTCAATACGTCTATTGTCTGTTCAAATTCGTGATAATCATTAATAAGAAGTAGACCGTGAATCTTATTTATCCAAAAAATTCCTCTGTTATTTTGGATAGAAGTTTCATTTAGGATTACAGGTGAAAATAATTTTTTCATTCTTCCACGAGAAGATCCATACGCGAAAGGATCATATATTTTAGGTAAGTATTTTTTTTTAGTCTCATCATTACACAATTTAGTCCTTTTTTCGAGTACATCCCGGGTAAGAGATTCTTTATCCAAAATTTCGATTCTACTTAGAAACTCCTTGTTTAAATTGTTCCTTTGTTGTTCATTGTTGTAACTCCAATGCTTATCCAATTCATCAGAGAAGAGTTTTTCCGTTGTAAAAAAAGACATCTTTTTTTGTATCATTTCCAAAAAAGTTGACAAACTTGCTGGATACGTAAAAGAGATCCTTTCTTTTCCATCACTTTGACATGTATAAAAAAAAAAGTGTGCCATTTCATTTCTTACAGCATGTTCAAATTGATTCTTTTTTTTATTTTTATATCGAAATGGACGATTCCATCGTTTATAGTCGAAAAGAAGAGTCACAAGAGGTTTTTCAAACCAAAATAGATATTTTTCTTTATTTGTTACTTTTTCTTTAACTATTTCTAACTTCGCATTTTCTTGATTCCCAT